CTGGACTACTCTGGGGAGCATGGAATCAGTCCCGTAGTGCGGCCCCTTAGCGGGATCCTCCTGGGGCAACTGTGGTGTGTGTGGTAGCAGACCCGTTGGCTGAATGTCGGTTGGAGGGTGGGCATGGGTCATGGTTTGGCTACCGAGCAGCCCATTGACGAAATTCGTCCTACGCGCGACCGAAGTGCCGGGACAAGAAAGTACAAGGGCCTCTTATCGGAGCGACCTCAACGCCAACTGCACGAACGACTGGCCCAAGGGATAGCTAATAGTCAACAGCTGCACCTTTGACCGAGGTGTGGCCACCAAGAAGCCATGGAAATTGACATGTGCCAGCATCTGCATGACAATGGCGAAGAAGCACCGGTAGCGCGCTGCAATGCCGTCCCAGATCTACCATCTCGACCGAGAAATGAGGTCGAGTGTCGGTCGTGAAGGATTCGGAGGAACAACGGTGATCGCGGGTACATGGCAGGCCCAGCACTTGACAGGGAAGCGGCCACGAGCAAGATGAGATGTCGTTACTAAGCCGACCCGCAACAAGCGTTTACGTATCTCTCCGACCGCCCGACCTGCTCTCCCATTCGACAACCACCGTCGTCTGGCACGCTGCCGAGCATACTGCAGCAGCGGGACGGCAAAACAAATGTCGACGGCCACTCGATCTCTGTTCCATCAAAGGTCGCACGGCAGAGCACCATGGTGGATCCGAGCATGCCCAGCAGTGTTGAGATTAACTTCTTTGCACACCAGGATGCGCCCAGGACTCGACTAACGAATATTCCTAATGTACCTATCCAGCCAGTGCGCTCCCAGCTCCGGCGCGACGAGCTACGAGATGCAATAGAATAATGGCCCTACTGATAAGCAAGGTACTTCTCGTTCGCACTGCGCATGCGTCTACCTTAACGCCCCAGGTATATTCAACGCTACTATAGACCCTGTCCATGAACGTAAAAGAACACCGGGATGTCGCTCCACCAAGCGACCGACTCCACGACCCTCATGCATGGCCCTCTGAAAGCAGTAGGCGGTGAGCGAAGACCATCATACCCAGTTTGAGAGTTTCCTGTAACACTTTGTCAACCTGAGCACGTTTTCGCGATCTACGTCGAATATATCTCAAGCGCTTGCACGACGGTGCCGCGGCGGTGAGCAATTTCACCTTACTCGCTTCCTTCAAAGCTGCCTACGCCACAGCATCCAACCACCATGACCCCGGGCTTAAGGATACGTATTCCTCAGACAGGCGGTCTGTCGGATGTAGAGGTACCGTTTCCCCTATCGCACCACCCCGCCCAAAACAAGCTGCGGAGTGTGCGGAAGCCCCTCTCCGTATCGACATGTTGTCGCAAAAAAGGCATTGCATGTCGCAACCTACTCCGGACCACGAGGTTGCCACAATGCACAACGCCGCTTCCTGACTGGTTACATTACGCAGTGGGTACCAGGACTCCGGATCGCGCACGGACGGAGGGGACCTGCATCCGCCATAATCTTCAAACAGTTTACCAGGGAATTCTCGAGCACTCCGATACCAAAGCATCTTCTTGCCCATGAAGTTCGCGTGGAAGAATGGCATGAAGCGCTAATCCGCAGACCTGAGTCAAGGCGGGACGAGAGTCCAGAGGAACAACCCGGTGCCAAAATTCCAAGGCGGCGTATCTACTACTACTTTTGCCGGTACTTTTATGGTTAGAACCTCCGGAGATACCGAGATACCACCACACATCTCACGCTTCACTTTTGAGCTACAGGTACTTGACAATTGCCGTTGATCGTAAGCGAAGCAGAACTATGTGAAATGAAGAGGAAGAGCTGAGTCGGTGGTGTGCTGATGGCCCGCAGGTACCTGTGTATCAGGCAAGAGATGCAGATCATGTGTCCACACAACGTGCCGCCACGGCATCCTTTGTAGTCGATGATGAGTATCGGCGTCAAGACGTGTCTCAACGAGACAACGCATCTGTACGCTGACGCACACATGCGTTTACCGATCAAGTGCCGTCTCTAGCAACCGTCAAATTTGTATCAAGGTCCGCTATCTTGGACAAGCTATAGTCAAGACTCAACGGTCAGCTTTGACTCCACATCGGAGAAGTGCAAAGGATTCCGCGTGCTTGTCTAGCGCAATGCGATATCGCTGCGTGGACAAGGAAGCCATGAGGCACATGTCAGGCCACCAGCACGGATAGAGCCGCAATCTCCATCGCCTGTCAGTTTGTACCCGGTAAACTATGATATGCCGTTCTCGGTCGACGGGCAGGACAAAGTAATCAGACATGCGTACACCGCTCGCGGGGCAGCATGGTGAGATTTTGAGTACTCCAAGCTAGACGAACTGGCTCAAGAGACGGGTCAATTATTATCCCAAGACCTTCAACATTCCGTCTCTCTTAGCCCCTTCCTACAAACTACTCTCCCGCTTCTTCTTCCCCACCAACCCCTCCGCCTCAAGCCATTGGCGGATAATAGCATTCGTCTCCTCTGGCTTCTGGATCAACGCCCAATGCGCAGCCTCCACTTCTCCCTTCGTAAGCTTAGGAATGAAATTATCCATGCTCTTTGCCATTGCGGGCTTTAGCACGCCGTCATGCTTGGCTTGGATGAAGAGGACGGGTTGATTGATTATCTTCTTGTCGAGCAGCGCTTGGTCTTCTTCCCAGTTCGTGCGGCGTTGGCGATACCAGTTTACTGGGTTGAGGGATTAGTGGTTGAGCTTGAAGTGGTGTGTAGATATGGGTAGATGTATGGTCGATGAGTGGTAGGTTGGGGAGAGAGGACTCACATGTGGGGTGAATCCCGTGGTTGAGATACTGCTTGACGTAGTAGTCTAGGTACTGATTCGCTGTTAGTACACCATCGCTTGTTGGCAAATCCTTCAGCAGTCTTTCTGAAACAAGATGATGCAATGGATCGATCTCGACATGTTCTTCGCGCGGGACGATCTTGATGTCGAGCCGAGTCGATCTTTTGGAACCCTTTCCCGCCTCATGCATGACATGTCGGAAGTGGTAATGCCTCTGTCGAGCGACGCAACCACCCCATAGCATCCCCTCAAAAGGTAACACATTGGTCTCTCACGGCATTCATCCACTCTTGTCTCCCTTCGATCCCGCACTCGACACGCGTTCCAGCATAAAAGATCATCACGTACCTTTCCATTCAGAATCTTGCTCTCACCGATCTTTGGCAAGTTTTCGACCAGTATTCCCTTCTCGGGAACGAACGTGACCTCGCCGTTTGGTCCCTTGGCCCCATACATGCCACTCAGAAATTGTCTGATTGACTGCTCATCGTTGACGCTCTTTTCCACTTCGCCCGAAGCGAGATGGACCTGGTAGGCGAATTGGGGTAATGGACCTTTGACCAGATCTTCGGTGGAGAAGTACTTGTCGGAAGGAGCAGTGTATGGTGTGCAAATTGAGAAGACATGTGTAATGAGCTTGGGGTACCTGTGGGGGTAGTGAGTTGGTACCGTATGTGGTAGTCAAGATGCCCGGGACTTACCATTGAGCAGCCCGCCAGACGACAAAACCTCCCCTAAGCGAGGCATCAGTGGATGAACGTCTCAGTGCATCCGCACAGTAGACACATACCAGTCATGACCACCAAGAATGATCTGCGGCGCATTGACTTCTTTAGCCAGCGCAGCAATATCATCTGATGCTCTCTTGAGTCCATACAGCTTGATAGAATTTGGCGGAACTTTGGGAGCATCCTGAACATCTCAGCTTCGGTATATTCCCCCGAGTCGCAAGACCTCTGAATTCGCCTTACCGTGCCACCGTATCCCATCATATCCGGCGCAACGACCCGCATCCCCATGTCGACCAAGAGAGGAATCTGATACCTCCATCCCATCGATAGATCGGGCCAACCATGAATCTTCCAAAAAAGTCAGTACGATCATGTTGCTTCACTCCAAAGTACCCTTTCCAACAGAAGAAGGTGCGGAATTTGCCGGCATCGCATAACAGCCGTCAAACACCACTCACCAGGAATACGGTATGCGTATACTCGCCAGACTTTGGTACCGCATATAGGTAATGGTATGTTTGTCCATTTAGCTTCGCAGTCTTGTGCTCGACACGAGGGTCTGACACAGGGTCAATTGGTTGGACAGGCATGACGTGATGTCTGTGCGACGAAGGGTAAAAGGAAATATATTGCGACGAGGGTGGTTGTAGTTTCGGGTTATAGCAGCGATAGTCAGGATAGCCTTGGGTGTCGATGGCGGTGAGCAAGCGAGTCGTCTTTGACGACGAAGCTGTAGATTCATGATGATGGTTGCTAGATTCGGGTATGCCGAGGTACCCCAATTGTGGGGTATGTAATCATCTCAGCCCTGACATCACTCTCATGGTTCTCGTCGTTGTTTACACAACGCGTAGGATCTGCACGCGAAGCGCAAAGTCAAGTGTTCCTTGTGTTGAAGATAGTGTTGCATGTATATTACTATAGTATGCTCGGAGATGGGCGGTTTTAGGATAATCCCACGCGCCGTGGGGTCCAATCTATCAACCCGAGTTCTAGGTAAGTCGTTGTGCATGCAGAACGAGGCGAGAACACCCGCAAGCGAGTACTGTAAGCTGTTGTTTGCCGGCGTCCGTGCCGGAATGGTATATGCAGAAAGATATGCGTGACCCAGATTTTCGGAAGGAGTACAGTGCTGCCCGGAGCGCATACATGAGCTATACCCTGGACGTATAATCGACGGATAATGCAGCACTTGTGACATGGCAGGAGCCGTGACACGATTGACCATATTTTGATTAATTTGCGAAGCTTTGTGACTATCGCAGCTAGAACTTTGATGATGCTACGGTCGCATATCCAAGGTGGGAGAACCAGACCCCGTAAGTCAACGCGGCCGGTTGGCAGAAGTTGCGACAGGACCAAGGGCGATATTGCGAACGACTTCAATCGAGACACGCCAACAGCGATCTATCGGGCCGGTCCTGGGTAAAGGCAAGAAGGTATGGGCTTCCGGGTGATCCTCAATAGATGACGGTGTCCTCGGCGGCTTCTTCGACAACATCCTCTCCGTTCTCGTCGTCATCTTCCTTCATGGTTGTGTCAGCTACGGTCTCGTGAGTTGCACCGTGGCTATTCTGTATGTCCTCAGTGGCGCGCTCGACTTTTGCATTGGTGTCAGGGGTATCGGGCTGGTGGTCCTTCATGTCCAGGTCCTTGGGGGAGATGGCGCTACCATTAGTCTCGCCATTGGTGGTGGTTGTCTCTTGAGGTGCATGTGCATCATGGTTCTTACCGGTTTCTGCACCCTCTGCATCACCCTTTGTTTCCTCGGATGCACGCCGTCTCCGCAGATTATCCGGTTGTTGGCGAGCCTCGTACTCTTCTATCTCGCGTTTGACGGTTTCTTCGGCTTCGGCTATTTGGTCACGTATGCGGTCTTCTTCGTCGGGACTAGTTTCCCAGGGTTTGTAGTACTGTGAAAACGATCAGCTGTGGACCAGGATGATCAGATGGAAGGCGACGTACGAGGTGTGGCTCTGACTTGGTCTGGAGGAAGTGCGCCATGGCGAGTAGATTTGCGTGACGTGCCCGCATCTATGAATTGTAAGCACCCAGCCAAAGCGTCAGGTGTAAGCCGTCAAGACATACCATATCTCTCTCGAGAAGCTTGTGCTCCTTCCATCGTTGCTCTTTGCGCCTGGCTGCACGCTCTGCCTTCCTCTGTTCGCTCTCCTGGTCGTCCTGTTTGCGCTGAGCTAGCTGTCGCTTCTCGATCTCGGCGCGACGTTTCTGTCCTGTAGTAGCAGAGTTCTGTGAGAGTGCACCCAAGGCGGCGCCGAATAACCTGCGCTCTCGTCCTCTTTCGCGTCGCACAGGGGCGGGCTTATCGTCTTTTGTGTCTCTGGTGGTAGAATCACGTCTTTCTTGGGTGGCAGTATCATTCTCGAGTCGCGGTCGCTTTGAGGTGTCTTCTGATTGTGATTCTTGTCGTCTCTTGTGGCCGTTTACCGGGGGTGAGGCTGGCAGTGATAGTTCATCCGGAAGGACTACAGCCGATGCAATGGGTCCGTCCATGACAGTGTCGCGCGTCGTGTATGGGTTTTCTGGACGTTTCTAATATGTGCTTAGCAATATCAGAGAAGCACGCGTGGGTGTCATTGGTGTAGGTGGCCCAGGGATCTCGCGATGGAAGCTTCGTGCACGGAGCATGGGTTCAGTTCACGCTAGCAGCGGACCACCGAAGCTGACTTTCACGACCGACTTTCTGTCTCACTGTCACGCGCCACCACCATACCAACGCCCCCGTTACGACGAGACACCAAGCTCTATTAAACCTGCGATATTGAACACGTCCATATTCGTCACCACCCTCACAACCTTCCGCCATGTCTCGCCATCATCCGTAAGTACCCTCTCACCTCAAAGAGTCGCGCATACTAACACCGGTCGCAGCGATCTCGTCATGTGCCGCAAGCAGTCCGGCATCTCCATCGGCCGCCTCTGCGACAAGTGCGACGGCAAATGCCCCGTATGCGATTCCTACGTGCGCCCGACCACCCTCGCCCGCATCTGCGACGAATGCTCCTTCGGCAACTACCAGAACAAGTGCGTTGTATGCGGTGGCGAAGGTATCTCAGACGCCTTCTACTGCTTCGAGTGTACGCGCCTGGAGAAGGACCGGGATGGATGTCCGAAGATTATAAATCTGGGTAGTAGTAGGACGGATCTGTTCTACCAGAAGAAGAATTTCAGGAATCATTGAGGTGGTTTTAGTTGCTGCTCTGGGCGCCGTCACATGCGTTCGGAGAATGGCAGAATCCACAGGAATACATGGATCTCGGTCATATGGGAGAGTGTACATGGGATAGCATGGGAAGAAGCATGGAGTTTGGGCGTCGCGGCAGCATCCTCAAGCGCCGCGATGTAGACAAACTGGGTTACGGCGTTCAAAGATACCTCAACGATCTATCAATGGTACTTCTACCACTTTCTCTGCCTAGTAGCATTGCTGACAAGTTCGCAAGATCGATTTCTTCTCTGTTCTAGGGCATGGTAGCCTTGTGTGTTTCTTTATCAAGACAGCTTTAGCTGCAAAATACAACTTACTGTCCGCCTGTAACATGCGTTTCTGATCACCCACTCGCGCCCGTACTCGATAAGCCAATCCAACTGGAGGCCAACTACCTCGGTGTCTCCACCTCCTCGTCGGCGCCTTCCCCTGTTCGGCATGGGTTCAAAAAAAAATCATCATGTCAAAAAGAGCAAAAACATACAACAGCGCGTATTCCCCGGTGGTCACCCACCCGAGTACTAATGCGCCGGTACAATGCTTGTATATGGCTGAGCGGACGGGAAGCCTAATTCTCATTGTCCTGTGGTCGTATGTGAAGGAATTGGCAGCCGGATAGGTCATATACTCGCTATAAACTCGCATACAGAAGACTGGCCCCTCACTGAACGGAACTCGTCGGGCTTCTCTCCCACGACGCATCCTTGTGGAAGAGCCTGCGTGAATAGATGGCCTCGAATAGGAAAGGTCCAGACAACGCCGCTCTCAGCTGGACAACAACACTGCTCCGAGACGAAGCCTGTTGTAATGTAATAGCGTCATAGGGAATAATTGTGAATAAAAGTCCTAAAAGGTAGGACGCAACGTTTCCAGACGCAACGTTTCCAGACGCAACCGCTTCTGGATGACGGGTCAACCTTGTTCGCTTATGGACATGCTCGCTGTGGACCCAATGCATAAACAGTTCATCGGTGGCACTATCTACCAGGCCTTCTTCTGCGCTGAGCTACCACCGCTGGCACGCGCCTGTGCGTGGTAAGGTCGTGAAGTCGTACCTCATTGAAGGTACCTATTTCTCCGAGCCATTGTCCGAAGGTCTTGGTGACCTCTCAGTTGGGGGAGATATCGATGAGGGCGGCGAAAAGACATGTCAAGGCTATCTTACCGCTACGGCTACACGTGCCATTAATTTCTTTGAGGCTGATAAAAAGCATCTGGGCTTGGTGTGTTTCATGGGCATCGGAATGACTGAGGTCTCGACGTGCGAGACCACTGTCAAGGAGGGCCAGCACGTCAAGAAGGGTGATGAGATTGGCATGTTTCACTATAGTGGAAGTACGCACTGTGTGATCTTCAGAGAGGGTGTGGAGTTGGAATGGTTTCCGGATACGCAGAACGCTGAGCACAACGCGCGTGTGAGAGCGAAGCTCGCGACTTTGAGGAAAACGACTTGAGAATACCTGGCAGTTGTTACTCAGTTAAGCTACGCTTACGATCTAAAGAACGTGAAAACCTATTTGTAGTACTGTGCACAACGAGAACTATGTTACTCTCCACTTGTACCGGCATGCCGATTAGAAGTAATCATCTGCTCGGGCTACTGGCAACTCGACGTAGTAGCCCCAAGCTGATATACCTTGTCATGATATGAATGCCCCTTGCACATCCTCACTCAGCACTCTCCAAACCAATACATGACCTAATATCTGCCCCTGCTTGTCGCAACAAGACTTGATTGGAAGTTGAGTGACGACATCTCAGTGACTCCGCTCGGTCTGAAACAAAGAGCAAGTAGCCAACCTTGTACCGTGCGTTATGTAAGTCGCTTGAAATATCTTTGGAAGTATGCATCCGCATCGCCAGGGAACATAACGTCATCGTTTATCGGCTTGTAAGCTATATACCAATCCCTGAATGACCATGTCGCATATGGTTTGACTGGCTCTCTTTGCTGCAAAGGCTCGCTAGCGGGAGTCTCCAGTTGAATAATAGACACATCGTTAATGATGTCTTCAACCACAGATGAGAGACCTGCGGGCAGACGCCACAACGTTGAGTAGATGGCGGGCAAAACCAGATCATCGGCACCATCGCGTTCGTCCTCTGTCGAAATTTCTTCTGGCATGTGAACTCTTACAGATGCAGCTTTGGAGATGTACTGCCACAGATAGGCAGCGTGTTGTGATTGAGCGTCAAGAACAACAGCGAACGAATTCTTCGGCATCCCGAGTTTGGTCAACGCAGCTGTGCGTATCAGCCAATCGACCAGAATGCGCATATAATCGTGCACCTGCGCTAAGGTTCCGGTAGCCGGACGGGATAACAGCTGAGCGGGCTTCGTCCAAAAAGACGGAGCAAGCATAGTAGAGAAGCTTGCTTGCATGCGAAATTGTAGCTTACGATTCTCCATACAGTAGCTGATAAGGCCTTCGGCGTGAACCTCGGGGTTTGCGACGCTTCTGCAGTCTTCTTGGAGATTTATGGAGCGCAGATCTTTGCGCGCGCCGGGTGCAAGCCTACCAAGTGTGGCAATACAAATCGCGGTTGCCGAGAAATAGGCGTTCGTTTCTTGATACGTTTTGGCGCCTTCTTTGGTCGGACCTTCGAATGTAGTTAACAAGTTTTCTATAGGGCAAAGTTCTTCATGAGTGGGAATAAGCCATGGATTCGGTCGCCACCCGAGGACCTGTCGATGCGTTCCCTGGATGAAGGGTGGTTGAGACCAGGGATAGTACTCCGACAATTCGCACGCTTGAGAGATGAGTTCTTCGAATTTAGGATGATTCGCGGTAAGATCCAGAGTGTGTTGCACTGCATCGCAGAAGGATGCTGAGAAGACATCTCGTGGTATCTGAGAGTGCCACGAGATCAGGTGCAAATCGAAACCACGTCGAATGGCGCGGAAACAAGAGCGAAAGACGTTACTAACCGCAGGGTGCGCTTCCACGACCATGGCGAGATCATGCTCAGTGACGCATTCCGCAGCGTAATGGAGCATGACCAATTTGGTCCAGCGGGTAGCGTACAACAAATGTTCGAACCGGTACGCTCTTGGGGGCGCTTGGTGTGGAATCAGTCCTTGAGTTTCTTCGCAACCGGGCACGAACGTTACAGTGTTGACCTGAAGTGACACTCCACGCATCTCCTCCGCGATCGCTTTGCATGTAACACTTAAGTCCAGCTCTCTTCCGTTCACGAAGCGTAGGCTGCGAGACGTATAGTCGTAAAGAAGTCCGTCGTCTTCATGCGCATAGTAGGCGTATATCTCGTCGCGAAGCTCCCTTGGTAGTCGAAACAGTAGCGATTTACGTTGATCGATCATGTTGATGAGGATGACTTGAATTGTTAAGGTAGTTGTTGTGTAGTTCTGGGTAAAGCGAGTCTAGGTGCTGAGGGATGCGGGGCTTCAAATAGAGCTCGCGCTCAGACGCTACGGCAGGCAGCCTTCGTCATGTGACCTCTCGCCGATACCTTGGGACTGTCCATGGAAGTTCCAGAGGGGCCGCAGATGTGGAGCCTCACTATCGTCGATGTACCATGGTACTGCAGATACGCGAAATTTCAGGGAAAAGCTGTTGCCCGACAATGTCAGCGTTGAGATGACGTAGCCCACCTACATGAACACATTTGGAACATTTGGAGGCCTGAGGTACTATCGCAATTCTTACAGAAAGTCTGCTCCAACCATATACCTTACTTCTCAGGCTAATTGTCTGCAAGCCTATCGCAAAGATGCACAAATGCACAGTCTTATCTTATATGCGCCATGTTCAATTTGGTACGCCAGCTGGAAGCAGATCATCTTAGCTACGGCTTGCTTATTGTTGATTGGCAAGTAACTACATATCATGTTAATGATAGCCAAATCAACGCAGTGGATACTGAGAGAACATGAAATCGCTGCATAGCAAGCAACCTACTCGACGAGTAGTACGCATTCCGAAACTGTACGTCGAAAGCAACACACATCATGATGTGCTATCGCTGGAATCCCCCAAGAAGGTCCTTATATATAGTTCCTTGTCACCGGGAAAGTCTTGGTTCTTGAAAACATGATAGGACAACACAAAGTCGGTCCAGGTCCACTGGCAGAACGGTATGGTTGGCGCAAATGGTTCCAAGAGCTCGTTAGATGGAAGATCGAGTCGAACTATGGACCGCCCGTTCATGACATCGTTAAACACTGCTGACAAGTGGACAGGTAGGCGCCAGGTGCGAGCAAGTGTTTTCATCAGGACGTCGGATGGGTTGCCGTGGCTGTCGATGAACTCACTGGTGAGTTCGT